AAAAAAAGAAAGAAAAAGAAAAAATTAGGAACCTTAGTTTGACCAGCATTTTTTTCAGCTCATTGAAAATACTGTTTCTGGTGAGACTTCCCCACTCATTCTGCATTCTGCTGCTTTTTTCTTTTGGTAGCATTTATGAATTTCCATTTTTCTTAGATTTTCTTTAACTTTTTGCTGATTTGCATACATGGAATTCATTGAATATTTTGTCTGTTGATTAATGTCTTTTAATATTTTTTGGAAATTCTCCACCATTATTACTTCTGGAACAATCTCACACACACACAAAAATGAATAAAACTATAACTTTCATTTTAGATATCCTTGATATATCTCTTGTGTTTCTTATCCTCTCATTGATATTTTTCATCTTTTTTGGATAATTTCTTCTGTCTTTCTTACCTTCCCTTATCCTGTATTTAATTAATTAATCACCCATTGAGTTCCTGATTTCTATTGTTTATATTTCAGTTCTAAAATTTCTATTTGGTTCCTTTAAAAGTATGATTCATTGCTTTTTTGGGGGGGATGGAGTTTTGCTTTTGTTACCCAAACTAGAGTGCAATGACATGATCTCAGCTCACTACAACCTCCACCTCCCGGGTTCAAGCACCTCTCCTGCCTCAGCCTCCTGAATAGCTGGGATTACAGGCATGCGCCACCATGCTCAGCTAATTTTGTATTTTTAGTAGAGACAGGGTTTCTCCATGTTTGTCAGGCTGGTCTCGAACTCCCAACCTCAGGTGATCTGCCCCCCTCGGCCTCCCACAGTGCTGGGATTATAGGCGTGAGCCACCATACCCAACTTGCTTTTTATCTTTTCTTGTCTGCTACTTGAATTTTCAATTTTGGCTTTTGTTTTTTGAACATAATTACCTTATTTTGTAGTGTGCGTCTGATAATTTTGATATACGAAGTCTTAATGACTACTTATATTATCTGTTTTTTATGTTGTTTCTTGGTTGTGCTGTTGAGTTCCTGTTGTGCCTGTTACTGTCATACACAATTATTTTAAAAATTGTTATTTCATTAATAAATTAAAACCTAGGATGATGGATTCTTTCTTATAGAGATTTTTAAATTTTCTTCCATCACATGCCTATGGACAGCATTATTTTGTGACTACACCAATCTAAGCTCAAAGTGTGAGATTCCTTGAACTCCTGAGGGGATACATAGCCCAGTTGTGGTTCTAGAGATTGTATGATTTTGTTCCAGTTAGTTCTTCCCTTGAGGTTGCATTCCTTTGTGGCTTGCACTAAAAGTGGCAGTGGTTTATCAGGGCTCTTTGATAAATTGATACTTTTGGTGGCCTCCTGTCTTCATGGTTATGCTTTTGATTTCTTGATGGCACTAAAAGTATAGCTTATATTCACAGTCCTTTTTTCCTGGAATGGCAAATGCCTTTAGGGCAAAAATGGTGTTGAGTGTTGGGTTTACAAATCTGTGTTTGTATCTTCTTGGTTTTGGCTGATTCCTTCCTATATTCTTACCCTGTAATGTTTTTAAGAAGACCTCCCCCATCTCCCATTCCCCACCAATTGTTTTCTAGTCCTCAGTAAGCACAAGTTCCAAGCTGATGGCTTTAGAGGTACATTATGCCTATAGATTAAATAGGTTTCTGCCCTGTCTCTCAACACCCCCCAAAAGCAGTGAGCGGACAGTGGAATACCTTACTGCTTCCTCACTTTTCCTTTCCAAATCTCATTCATATGCACTTGATTGACACATTCAGAACCACATGCAGTCACATGAAAACCTCAGCTGAAAGGGAGTCAGAAACAGGGTTTTTAACCTGTTCTGCAGTGTAAGAGTGTACCCTTGGAGAAGTTTGGAGGGAAAGTTGAGTGCCTGTTCATCATTTTCACATGAATATAATCACCAGAACATTGCTGTCTTTTCATTGTAAAGTACGACTATCAAATAATGGAGCTGATTTTCATTAGGTATGGCAGAAGTGATCTACCTAGATGCATTTTGAGGCCAATATTGTGAATACTTGTAGCATTTTTATAGATAGTAACTCAGCAGTTGTTGCTCAAAACTCGTACTTCCTTTGAAATCACCTTCGTAGCCTATATTTTATTTTGTGAATAGCTTTAGAAGTGACAGAATTTTGCCTTTTGAAGATTAATTTGATTTTGATTAAAATGTATCTTTATAACTAAGTATATCTAATTAGATAATTAGTTGGAAAATCATGTTTTTGGTTAAAATGAAGACTTTATTTTGCCATAATGAGAATAATAGCTTATAATTTGATTCTGAAGACAATTTGAGATGACCACAAAACATTTGTATTTTATTCCAGACGCAAGAGATACAAGATTGTTTAATTGAGATACTTATCAGTATTTATGGAATTATCAAATGGTGTCTTTCTTTTTAGGGGAGTTTGTTACTGTGTTCTTGTGGTATCTTTTTTTTCTATTTGTTTCTGCCACATTTATCTCAGCCTACAAGTTTGTTCAAATTTGTACCATGGTCATTTCTGGCAAAAAACCTGATAGTTGATATATATATTTTTTGTTTGTTTTTGAGACAGAGTTTCGCCCTTGTTGC